ATTTTCCCTGCCTTGGGAAGTGTTGCAAAATTTGAGCTTGCCCTGGAGGTATCTCTCACTAATTACTGGATATCCTGGTTTTGTGTAAGGACACAGGCAGAACCTTCCCACAGGTTCTTCTTTACCACATGGGAAAAAAAAGACTCGAAACTGATTTCTGTTTCAGCATCCTCAGCAGACTGCTGTGAAGGGCTGATTGCACACTCGAGGGGATCTCTTTCTGGAGCCATCCTCCCCAGCTCTGGGGCATCACTCACCAACAGTCTCTAAGAAGTGTGGAATTTCAAAGGCAAAAACAACTTTAGTTTTAATATTTGCCCTCTGTACCTGAAGTTTGGGTCACTTTCAATTTTTTTCTCCCCTGTAATAAAGAAGGCTAAAGCTTTCAAATTAGAAGCAAAGACTGAGAGCTGTGTGAGATGAGGCCTCTTTGAGTTCGCACCACCCGCCAGCCAGCTGCAAAGGGCTAAGGAATCAGCTGGTGGAAGGCAGGGTGTAGAAAATTACAGACCTGGCCCTGAGAAGAGGTAGAGCAAACCTGATTACAAGCTCAGCTCGATGCAAGGCAGATGCTCACAAGGGCTGTAAGCCTCCAACCATGGTTTATTCACATCAGTAGAGGAAAACTGCTTCAGCTCTGACATGTTGAGTAGGCCAGACTGTATCTACCCATCTCCTGGTATATCTACTGTATCTACAGACCTTGTGCTCACACCAGCCTCTTCTTTCAGCGTCAGGCCACCCACTCCTGTGGCCCCCGTCCTGCATCCCACAGTGATTCAGGTCTGTGCCTGGACTGCAGCACTGGGCTGCAGCTGGCCATATGCCTTGCCACTCCTTCAAAGAGAGATGAGACAATTACAGAGGGGTTTCCCAAAGTTTAAGAGACATGAAGTTAAAAATGAAAACTGCATTGAGAAGGAAACAGCAATGTAAGGATTTCTTCCTCGGTAAGTCTGCTTCATTAAATACACAGCCTGCCTACACATACCCACCCTGTTTCTAGAAAGGCCCTTTTCTGTCATTTCTGCAAATGAAAGCTTCTGCCAGAACACATGTAGGGGTATCACTGAAGCTCCTGGAGAGAAGAGTGAGCTCTGGTTTTGATCCTCCGAATGCCTTCTCCTTTTCCTACCCTCCCTTCTTGAGACTTCCCACTGATCAGTTTTTCAAGGGAGTCTTTATTCTCTGCCCAATTTTGCACAAAGGTATCAAAGGATTTTAACATATTAAAACTTGAAACCTCTTAAAGAAAGAATTTATCTCCTTCCTCCCTCTCTGCTTGTTGCTGGAGTTTCACACCTGGGAGCTGCTCTAACTCAGTCTTTAAAAGAAGTAGAGTATTTCTTTTTAAAAGTTACTTAGCCATCTTATACACACAGAGTACATGTATATTCACACATAATTACTTGAAAAAAAAATACTTTCTTTCTCGCTTCCAGCTTCTAAGAGCAGAAATAAGAAACACCTTAAAATAACTGTAAATAATAAACCCTGTCACGCTAAATACTTCAAAGCGGAAGAGCAAATATCTTGAGCTTGGGGAACTACATGTAATTATGAATTAGCTCTCAAAAACAGATACAGATGATCTGTCAGATAGCTTTTCATTTCAGATAGATTTAAAAATAATATGCCTTGTGATCTGGTAGAGAGAGTGACTGCTTACCGATAACTGCATTTGTTCAAGCAAAGCCTGTGGAGTGGGAGCGTGCATACCGAGCTGCTGAGATGGACTTTTTTGCATTATCAGCACCTACACAGAAGACACCCCACCTTTGCTCCCTCTCACCAGGGCACAGCCCCAGGGGAGGCAGTCTTTCCGAGACACTACTAATGGGCAAAACTTGGGTGAAACATGTTATCAGCCACCCCCAGTGCACCACCCAGTGACTACCTGAATCACATAGGCCATGGCTCTATACGCTTTGCTAATTCTGGGAGTGACACAGGCTGAAAATGAGATACATGGAAGAGTTGTAGGACTATGAGATGGGGATTGGGGAAGAGAACAGACAGCCATCTCTGATAGGGTGTCCAGCAGGAACTTTAGGAGGCTCTGCCAGGGAAACATCCCTTGAAAGTTGGGAGGTGCCTAGTGATGCAAGGACCTTGTAGAAAACCCCTGACTGAATTAGAACTTCATGGTAGAAGTCTTGGCCACTATGAAACATCAATTTGCTGCAAAGATCTTCTCCCTGCACAGAAAGTTGCAGTCTCAGTGCTGTGAGCTGACCTGTGCCACCACCTCCTTCCACTCCAGAGTGACCATTCAAGTCCACGATGGAGATCCTTTTCCTCCCTTCTTCACGCAAAAAACCTTTCAAAAGCAAGCTGCCTCAAGGGAATCTGTGAACTGTGAAGAAGGGGATCCTGAGGAGAGACTAGGTAGCAAAATTAGCAGCTAACCTGGCAGAATAGCTACAGAGAGCAGGCAAAAAGTGACCAGCTCACACCTATAGTAGAAGAGGAAAGAAAAGGCAGTAGGAACAAGGATCAATGTATCTGAAAAGACAAAGTTTATTGCTTATTCCTTCCAAGCGTTACAAAGCCAAATGGGACACCTGTCTAGCTTACAAAAGACCTGCACCAAGTGAATAACTGGCATCGTGGCCTGCAGACAGGCAGCCTTAGTACACAATGAGAGTGGGACAAGCCACTGACACATGGTAATGAGCCCAGAAACAAAAGTGGCAAAACAGAGAGGTCTGGTGTTCTACGTTCTTCAGTCTTGGTACTCAGTTTTGCACCCCTCAAAGGAGTAAAGCCTTCACTGCAGATTGTAGTTATTTCCAGACCTGCAGGCTCCAGCCATGAGACTTGGGGTAACAATGGCTGGATTCAGCTTTCACAGTATGTGTAGACATCCTGTGTGCTACGTGCAGAGCAAAGAGTGTGCAGTGCTTGGCCTCAGAAACCCAGCAGCCCTCATTTGAAAACTTGCTGGGAGCAAGCCCGTTTCACCAAGTCCAATCACTTGGACTGTCTGCCCCTTCAGGAAATCCTCATTTGCTTTAGTCTTTCTCTCTTCACCCCAGTGATTACAAACGAAGAGGAAAGCAAAGAACAGAGTAAAGAGATGAACCTGGAGAACAGCTGACAGCACTTTTGCTCAGCACAGTGCACTCACATGGCAGGACACAGGTGCCTACAAAGGGAAGGGGCCTAGAACAACTCGATGCAAACAGTAGCCTTGAGCTACTCGTGTCAAAGTGTCCAAGAGAGTGCAATGGCTTTGAGGAATCATCTAGCAATGTCTCATGGTCCCCCGCTACCTTCCTCATTAAACCTCGAACGGAGCTGCAGGGTGTGTTAGTGCACTCCAGCTAGGCTTTCCCAGGGGGAGAAGGGAAAAGCTGGAGTCAAAGACAGTGCAAAGGGCTGGATTCAGTGCTACGACTTGAAAATGGCAATAAAAGGGAAAAGCAGCAGTTGGAGTTGAGAGCACAGGGGCCCCTTTTGTCACCAAGTGACACACAAAACTTGGCATACTATGATGCTAAGACAGTAGTAATCAAGAGCAAGCGACAACAGTTTTCTCCCCACAACCGTATACACTGTTTTCTCTAAAGGCTAAGCATGTGAGTAGTAGGGATAGTTGCCCAGCCAGCTCAGGGCATCAGAAACAGCCACTAGGCTAGCTGGCCAGCTGGAAAGCAGGGAGTGCCTAGAGCAAGCTTTGGAGCCCTCCCAGCACTGGTGGTACGGACAGTTCTGCTGCTAGGTTCCCGAGCTTGAACACGAGCATACTAGGAAGTAAGAGGCAAGGGAGCACGATGACAGGTTTTGTCTTCATCGGTTTATGACTGGGATTTTAGTATTCCCATAAAAGGCAGGAAGATTGGGAAAAGGAGGGAAGTGAAGCCCTGGTCATCTCTCCTTTAACTCCTGATGTGGCTGAGCAAAGCCCAAGTGTCTCCTAAGTGCCACTTCAGGGACACTATTCTAAGAAGCAAAGCTGAGCTCAAATGAGAGGCGGGATGAACCCTTGGTAGGGAGACAAATATTTTCAGTCTTTGCACCAAAGACAAACCTTTCCCTTTCTGAAATTAGGCCTAAATACCTGCAGAAAAACCTTTCTGAAAACGTCTGCTACTCTGCTACTCCTTACAGCATAGAAATTTTGGTTTTGAAGGGTGTTTTGGGGTTGGGGTGAGTGTGGACATGAGACACAGGGGAAAGAGGTAAGGACACAGGGAGAATTTACTGCTGAGAGACAACTTGCTCTGGCAGCAATAAAAGCATATGATCTGCATCACAGGCCACAAAAACACCCGAATCATCTATCATACTTTTGATATATCTATCAATTAAGCTATTTTCTCCAACATCGCCAGCATCTTTAATTTTCGTTTTGCATTGGGTTAAAGAAGATGAAGAAGGAGGCAATATGCAGATGCTCATTGTGGTTCTCCAGCCTGCACTTAATTAATTGTGAGTTGCTTTAAAAATAATTTAGGACAGTGCTTCCACAGCACATTGCTGAAGTCTGAGACACTTTGTGTTTTCACTTCCCAGAACACATGCAAAGCACTTACCTCTGCCCAGCTGTTAAAAAAAACCCACAACCCAGTCTCTGCGCTGACTTGGAGAGGGAAACCAAGAAGCTGCTTTTCTCCCTGCCCACCCCCTGCTTCAAGCAATCCTTTTAATCCTTTGCCCTGTCACCTACTTCTGTTTAGAAAACCTTCAAGTGAGATGTTTATAGTTAATATGTCACGTGAGGCAACCGTGCCAACTCCTGTGATGGGCAGACAGCTGGGGCTCGCTCTCGGAGTCACACCATTAGTCATGGTGATGACAGCTTCAGACGCCGAATTTCTCATGTAAGGAAACAAAGTAACCGATGTATTATTTTTAATAAAATAATTGCTTTAATGCAGTATTTAAAATAATTTTTAACATCTGATCAATAAGATACAGTACACAAATATGGAAAATGCTGCACTTTACATAAAAAGTAAAGCTAAGCATTTAATTATACAAAACAATTTTGCCCAATGCCATCAATATCTTGCAAACTATAGCTTAGTCAAAGTACTGCTTTTCTTTATATATATATATATATGCCATATATACATATATAAATAATTTACAGCATTCATTTACTAGATTTGTTTACTACTGTTCCAACAAAAACCAACATAACTGATTCAAAACAGTGAATTTGGTAACTATCTGCAGTGGTTTTGACAGTGGAGGGTGCATGAATTATCGCTTCAAGTTTTGAAGCAGCATGCCAAATAACCATAGGAAGCTTTTTCTTTAAAAGAAAAAAGTTTCAGCAGGAAGCCATTCAGTAGTTGGTTAGAGCATGGTGCTAATAACGCCAACGTTGTGGGTGCAATCCCCAAACAGGCCATTCAACTTAAGAGTTGGACTCGATGATTCTCGAGGTCCTTCCAACTCAGAGTGTTCTGTGATTCTGTGAATACAGTCAGTGCCTTTCCCAGCAGTCCTGGGAAATAGCCATGCTATACAGCGCTGTGTCATGGAAGGCAAAATTCTTGGAGGCTGGGGAGAAGGGCGACCCAGAGGGTGTTCCTTCCACCACAAGGCAGTCTTTACCAGCAAGGAGAAAATCTTTGAATCTATTCTAGCAGTCTTAATAATCCAGAGTCCTCCTTACTGAATGGAAACCAGGCAACTGTCTAAATACTTTCTACTTGAGTAGTTTCCCTGTTACACCACATCAAGGTATTAAATCAATATTCTAAAGCAGTGAATCCTGTGCTTTGCAAACCCTGCTCCTCTCCTTAAGAGAGTCTCCAGATGCAGAGTTTTAATGCATCTCAACTTTTCCCTTTTCTTCTTAGTCATCACAGGTTGTTTTTGTTAATTTCTTTCCACATCTATACTCAAGTTCAATGCTAATTTTTATATCTAGAGAAAGATCAACTGTTCTTTCTGTTTACCCTTCCTTTTTAGGATCTTTCACCCTTTGTATTTTTAGTAACTCCAAATTTTACCCAAACATTGAAGTATGCCCTAACTACACTGCCTGATGTACTTCAATCACAAGAGTAACCGATTTGTTCACCTTCCCTCAGCCACTTGAGGGCAACTGAGGCAAAGTGCAGGGTAGAAAGGACCCCTCATTCCTTTTGCTTACTACTTTCTCTCCAAAAATGAGCATCCAGCATTAATTGTAACCCCAGAAAATTTGACAGGATGCTGAGTCAGACAGGCAATACATTAGCATGTTGACTGACTGCTGGTTCATCATTAAATACAGTTGCCATGCTATGCAGTGCCATTAAAGTGTTATTTGTTTCCCTAAATAAGGTTGGATTAGAAGGTGGCACCACACATAGAACAGATGTTGCAGACTCTGGAGTACTGAAGCAAATGACATACACAAACTAGGGACACTTATCAAGCCCTCAGAGCCTGCACGACAGTTAAATGTAAGCAGGTAGTCAGGTGCTTGTTGTGTGCAGCTCAGTGTTCTCACTGGTTTACAGACTGATTTAAGCCAAATATTATTAAAAACCTTACAGGTGCTCAGTTAGGTATTTAATAAAAATGTTTATCTGTAAACAAGAGTTATCCTTACAACGGATCATTTTCCAGAAATTGTAATTTCAAGACAGTGCAACAATGCTTCAGTGTTTTCTTTGGCAGTAGACAGCAAGGTGAAATGTAAAATTCAAATCACTTCAGAAGAACACGGTACAAGTGTAGAGAATGCTTCATATCCCTCTCTTGTTCCATGCAGAATATCAAGTCCCTGAGACAGACACGGGTTACTCTTGGACAGAGCATCGGCTTTGTAAGGCTAAAACCTGATGATCCAGGAGCAGTTCCATTGCCATTCAAACCCTAAATGGGGGAGAGAGGAAAAAAAAACCATTAGAATTCCATGTAAATACAAGTTTTAACCAAACTGGTTGGATTATACTGCCTACTTGTACAAAACTATCCTGCTGATGTTCAGCTTTACATGTTGAAAACCAGTAATCCAGAAGTCCTTGCACATTAGAAGACAAAGCAAGTACTTGCCAGCTGATAGTTTATTTCATGGAAACGAAATAAACCATCAGTTGGCAGTCAAAGCAACCAGACAGTTCTATCTTTCTTTAAAGTTATATTAATATGGTAAGACAAATAACTGCTATTTCACTGAAGTCTGCTACACAGACACTTGCACTGAGAAAGGACAAGCTAACTATGAAGAAGGTACTATCACAGAGCCCAAGGTTGTGCACTTGCAAACTCCCAAGCTCCAGATGTTTCCACCTCTTCTTGAAGAAAACCATCACTGTGAGGTGCCCCTAGTCCTTGTAACAGGGGCTCTAGGCCAGGAGAAACTCCCATCCTGGCCATCTTCTGTGATCTATCCTTTAAGGGAGCAAAAAATACTCAGTCAAAGCATCCAGATATTCACACCACTGTATCTGAGCCTATCCCTCTCAGTCAGCTGCCTCGCTTGGTTATGAAAACAATTGGTAGGAGATGATGACGTTTAGTAGTTATGCATTCAAGCTACTGGAATGAGCAACCCCCACGCTTTCCAAAATGTCCCAAGATTTATTATTAGGGGTGGGGAGGAAGCAGATTACCATGAGCTGCACAATAGACTGGCTACTTATCTTGGAGCCAATCTATGCTACACAGCCAGTCTCTTATCACTACTGGAGGGTTCTTGGTAATGAATGTAATTTGTACAAATATGAGTGCTCAGTCTCTGTAACTTCAGCAAGGCAATGCCTGCCAGCATCAACACCACTTGGAGATGGTGTTGCTTAGATGCAGTGTTAACTATATCAATTCTTGCCCTAACACTCCCTGCAAGACTTCAGCAAAATGACTTTGCCCACTTTGCTTAGAGAAATCTGTTTAAAACCCCCATATATTAGAAACAAATACCACTTCTGGACTATAGTGGTGAATGCTACTGTTGTTAGGAAGGAAGCACTGAAATTTATTAAAAAATATAAGGAGATTCACCAGAGAGCACACGCTAGCCACAGAAAACCCAGGGCACATTGCAGAAATGGAAGCTGTATTTCTTACAAGCAGCACGCAGGGTATTCAGCACCATTTCATTTGCTTTACAGTCAATACTATTAAACACTATGAAATGCCATCATTTGAAACTTTCAGTTTGTTAAATGGCTTGGAACAAATGCGTGCGTGGGGAAGACTGCTGGCCACATCGCACAGAGGGCACTGCTGTCCTGGTAAGACACAAAAGGGTCACAGTTCAAGTCTGTCATATGACAACCCTGAAGGATCCAGGGAAAAGATAGCTCTGCAATGCAGCTGCCAGCACGGGTTGAAAAGGAGGTCAATCCAACAGGATGCAGCAGAACGCCTGAGGCAATGTTATAAATGAAACAAACCCCAAGGGTTTTCAGTAACCCAACAGCAATGTCCTTTATAATTCAAAGAACTTTATTGAGGTGAAAGCATTTTCTCTCTAAATAAGTCATTAGACTAGAAGTCTTTTTAAAGGTAAGACACCAAACAAAACCACCTCAATCCTGTTCACTCCCTTACAAAAAGGAGGCAGATGGCACAAATTCCCCAGCTTGCTTTGGCTACAAAAGGGCAGAAGTCTCAAGGTGCCTGCATTTGAGACAGAGTTATGGATTTGTTTATTCCTAAATTCTTACCCATCATGCCCAGTGCAGACGTAAAGCGTTATTATGTTGTAACACCACATCCAAAGCCAAAGCTTATCCTGGAGTCCTGTTTTCGAAGACAGGCAGTTTATACTTCTAAGTTTCACATAGCATCACTATGGTTTATCAGAGCTACTGAGTACAGCATTTCAGGGGGCAGGAGCTTTTTAAGAACCAACAGCTGCTAGCACACATTAAAAGGAAAGGTCCTTCTCTCAAAGTATATGACGGTTTAAAATTAAAGCAGCCAACAAACAGTCTAGGTCAGTCCAATCCAGATTGGGGTGATGCTGGGGAACTCACTTTTAAGTAAATTTATGCAGTGCTAACACTAACTCCTTTTAGCTACTGTCTTCTATAGTTTTACTGAAACACTGGTTTTTTTCATGGTTTTGTTTTGGAATTTGGACCAAGCAGTGGTCCAAGTTCTGCACACCACAATGAACCATCACAGATGCCTCTGTTAATGCCCAATGCCTTACTTAAGAAGTGCCCAACTCTGAGCTCTCAGTTGGCACAAGGGACACTTGACAGGAGGGTCCTCTGCCTCTCAGTTCTCAGAGCCTCCACTTGAGCAAACCCCTGTTGGGCAGCAGGTTGACCTTGTCTGGCCCTAGGCAGCAGTCAATAATCCGCTCCTTTACATCTCATATACCCCTTCCTGCACAGAAGCTACACCACACTGCTTTTGAGACCTGAAAAATACCAGCCCACTCCTCGCTTACAGACGTCTCTATTATGTTTCTCCCAGTTGGGCAGCAACCACTTGTGTCTTGCTGCGTTGGGGGGATTTCTTCACCGCTGGTCTTCACCTTACCCCAAGACAGCTTTGTGAGTCTCTTTTGAGAGGAAGTGAAAAAGTGCTGCTTTTTAACCAGGCCACAGACAAGTATAAAGTACGTGAACAGAAAATGCATCCCTGTACAATCAGTTCTAGCAAAGGGTACTGCAACCAGCCTCCATCCCCCTTCTGCAACATTTGATTATTAGTGCTTTAACCAGCAACTTCTTTTTTTTCCCCTTCTCTGTCTCTCTCTTTTTTTTTTTGTTATCCTTAGGTTCCTACCTTTCATTGAACCCCCCAACCCTGCGATCCTTCCAAAGGGAAATGACACAGAGACATGCAGCCCAGGAGGGCTAACTACCACTATATTCTACCAGTCAAACTGGGTATCACAGCTGACAGACCCTGTTAGTAAACCAGGTAAGGCACTGCAGCAATGTAACTCTGCACCACTGTAAACCACCCTTCTCAGCACCGAGACCACCAGCTCGCTTAAAATCAGCTCCAGGAGGTCATGGCAGCCTTGCTTTTGACCTATCCTCCCTTTTTGATCCTTAGAGCCTTTTATACACACCCGACAGAGATCAGTTACTCTCACTCATCTTGGCAGCAGAAGACATTGTGGAGCTCCTGCTGCAGTCCCACGCTGCTGGGCAGCTGGTTTTGTTGAGAGGTTGCTCCGGAAACCTGTTTTAAGATCTCCAGAGCTCTCTCTAGTGGCTGGATGGAGAATTAAATACCAACTCTGAAAAGGTAAGAGTGAAATTGATATACAGAGCCACAGCTCAAATACGAAGCTCTACCTGAGCCACCATCACCACCTTATTTCCAATCTGCAAGGAACATGAAGCAAGAGATCTGTGATCTGCAAGTCATGGGTACTGACATGGATATCAGAATTGCTCAGAGTTATCCTACAGGCCCTGATACAAAGCTCAGAGAGGTCAGCAGACACCTTCCTTCTCACCAAGTTTGGGTCAGGCTCAGTGAGCTGCTCCTGGTGGCCTACATGCTCCCTTCTCAAATTCAACGACCTCACACCAATCACATTCAAAATTTTAAACTGCTGGGAGTGGTACGCTTTAAGGGAGCAAAGTGTTCAGTCAAATGTTAAAAGCCAAGCCAAAAGTTCTCATTTAAATTTTCGGTGTGGCATAAACACATCCTAGTCCCAGAGCCAAGATCCCAAGAGAGCAAACTATTATCACAGCTCTGCTACACATTATAAAAATACCCCCAGCAGAAGGAAGCAAAGTCATGAGACACTTTTCAATGACATTTCCAAGCACAGAAAAATTACAGTTGTGTGCAGCAGAGTTGCTGAAAGGTGGTAAGAGCACCTAGTGAGCTGAAGCAAAAGCATTCAGGTTAAAGGCCCACCTCTGTCACCTGTGGTCACTGATGTCTATTGAACACTAGTTTCCCAGCTGTAAAACACAGAACACATTTCTGTCTCATAGGAGGAAAACAGGTTAAAAAGCAATGAACACATTTTGGAGCATTCAAACACTTTCCTGAGTCTCCCCCAGCAGCAAGGGGGAAAGGATCAGACCCTGTCAGAATTGTGACAGTTTTGTTTGTACAAACAAGTGCCTAATTTAGGCCAGAGAAAACAAAGTGAAAGAAGTTGATCATAGTTTGGTGACAAGCCAGCCTACTGATGCTGCCTATTCTAACAAACCTTGGTCTGACAGAAACACTCCCACATTAACAATACTAACATATTACATTACTCAATATTTACATGATTTTTTTAAAAAAATAAAGTTGGTTGTGTTAGGTTGGGGTTTTGGGATTATTTTTTTTTTAACCTTACAGATCAAGCCAATGTCTGAAAGACTCAGATCTCTATACTCAGGCTGCTTCTTGTGCAGCTGAAAACAAACGTGTATTTATGATGATATCTGTAGCCTACAAAAAAGCCTCACGAAGCTGTCACATCTGTATAATAGAGAACTCTATTCAACTACACATTTTTCTTCAGATTTCATTGCAACATTCCTACAAGTCCTTTCAAATGTAGGCAACAACGTGTTTTACATATTGAAACAAATTACTGCGAATGCAATGTCAGTTTATTCACTATTATGCCCAAGATTCATGTACGCATGTCACTTCGTATGGGTACATCAGATGCTTAATCTGTACCTGGAGGTAATGAATACTATACAAATATGTCATGTTAGTTAATAGACAATTATTAAGCTGAAATTTTCTGGCTCTTTGCCACATCATTTTAAGCAATGTATTGTCAACTAAATTATAAATCTCTTGACCCTTCACATGTCATCAACATTTGCGCGTTACCAATATGTTCAGCCTAAAGCTACAATGCAATTAGTCATTTAAATTGCAGATATCTTTCACACATAAGAAGAATTAAGTTCATCTCTGGCACAGAGAAAGCACGA